AATTGATTAATATCCCTTTCGGCATCAGCCATCTAAAGGTCACTCCTTTCTTAATTAGTTTTTTGGTCAAAAATTGATATTCTCTTCATGAATCCCTTATCCTTCTAGGTATGTGCTTTAACACCACAATTTCTTTTCCCTTATATAGCAATGGATCATCTCTCACTCTTCTCAATATTTCATCTCTTATTGATCTTTTAACAAATCTGACATGGATCTCTCTGGGGACTTTGTTTCTTCTTGTGTAGCTTGAGTTAACTCTAAATATTTGATCTATTTCTCCCTCCATTTCCTGCTTCCCCACTTCCAGCGCACCAGCCACCAGTTCTATCATCAGATCAGCAAGGTCTTTCTCCTTGTCTTCCATTATATTCTGGAATCTTAAGAAATGGGATGCCTTTTCCATTTCTAAAACTGCTACTGAATCCTCTAGTTCTCTATTTGTCTGTATCAATCTTTGGTTTTCATCTTTTATTTCTTCCATCTTTTGATCGGTTTCTGCTGATTTGTCTGGATCTTTTGCTCATTCTTTGAGATCTTCTGTTGGAAGTTTTCCATTTGGGATTTCAAGTTGTGAATTTCTTCCTTCACTTTATCAAAGTTATCCTTTGTTTCTTCCTGATTTCACTTTGTTTCTTCTTTAAGTGATGTAATTGCCTCCTGAATGTATTGTAATGTGGTTTGCATATCCTTCTGAAAAGTATTGTTTTTTTCTTGCTGTAACATTGCACCAATTGATCTCTGATACATAGGACTGGGGGTGGTAGAAGATGGAGCTGAGGATGTTTTTTTGCTAGCTTTAGCTAAATTAGAGATATTCATTTTTGATCCCACCTTCACAAGCTTTCTCAGTTCTAGTATATACTCTGTTATCAATTTTGTATAAATCCTCCAATCTTTTTTTAAAAAAATATATTTTATTGATTTTTTAACATAAACACCTTAATATTGGGTAAATAGCGTGTTGTCTGGGCTTATATTTGCAAAGTAATCACTAACAATCAGTTTCTATATTACAAAGTCCACATAATAGCTTTGTTTGATTTTCTCTTCTTCCAATAACATTCTCTTTGCCAATCTTGAATTGATATAATTCTTATTAGTTTGATAGGTAACAATTAAATATAAAGATTTTTCTAAAATTTCTATAAATAATAATCACATCAATATCATGCTTCTTTTCTATCTGGTCATCTTGGTTGCCTCATCATAAATCCTGTTTACAATTCTTATTTAAATTTGTTTTCCCTAGAATGTTCAAAACATTCTTACTGGTTAAAATTTTCTCAAGGTTAATTATATTTAAGTATTTAAATCTATTTTCCTCATATGGGCCTCCCAACACTTTTACATTTCTTATGTCTTAAAAAGTAAAAAAAAAAAAGACAAAAAAGAGAGAAAAAATAAGAAAATAATATACTACTTAAAATACATATCCCTCTTAAACTAATATATATTTATCTCCAAAAAATTCTGTTCTTTTTACCCATAATTAAACATATGTTTAATCTTTAGATGTTCCATTTAATAAATCCAATCATTTAATCTTAAACTCTATTCAAAACATTTTTTTTAATTATCTGTTGGAATTTTCTTAAAGTCAATTACATTTAAATATCTAAAACATTTCCTTTATATTGACCATCCCAAACATTTTTATATTTCTCATATCAAAAACAAAGTAAAAAAAGACAAAAGAAAGAATACTAGATTACTTGGGGGGTTCATCCCTCTTAAGCTAAAATCTTTCTATTTCTTCAACCATATTCAAACAAGTGTTTAATTTTTAAATATTTTAAATAATTTTAAAATATATAAATGAATCCACCTCCAATTTGACTTTATGGCAAAAGAACTCTCAGAGGGTAATAATGGAGAGGGAACAGATAAAGTAGATAACTGAATATAAATTGGAGGAAAGAGATTTAAAGATGGAACCTAATAATATAAGGAAGTATGACTTGACTCAAGTGGAGAAGGACTTACAAGAAACATTGGACATGGAAAAGATAACTTGTACTCTAAGACCACAAAATAAATCTGAGGATAAGAAAAAAGATTTGACAAAATGGATTGCAGAGCTGTTAGGAGTACCATGATAAATGGGGAGACAAGGGATGATGAGAGAAACTAAGAGAGAAAGAAAAGACAGGATCTTCAATGAATATGAAGGGGCAAAATCTTTTTACAAAGACATGTTGCTTGATTTGCCTCTTATATCTACAATAACATTTGCAGGATTATGGACTCTTTGATTTAATGGAATACATTGATTGGGAAAGATATTTGGCAAAAGAAGAGAGCTAAAGTGAGAATTGAGGAATTAGATGATGGGATGTATCAGAGGGAATAAACCCTCCAATTTTACAACCAATATTCCCTTCAATAAGTCTTATATTCTTTATCTGTAGTCTCTTATAATCCAATAGACTTCCCCATACAGGGGGAAGCAGGAAGAAGAAAAACCTTCTAATCCACTTTTGTCTTTCAGTCCTGGCTTCAACAAATTGTCCAAAGATCCAAGGTTTTCATTCTGCCCAAATTTGTAATCCAAAAGGTCCTAAAATAGGGTTAATAATCCATAAGGACTCCCCCAAATGGAGTCGCCACAAATCAGATTTCCATTGTCTCTAAATAGTTCTTGAAGATAGGGGGTCTCTTATCCAGTTCACTCCCCCCCAGAAAAGGGAGGCAGTAGCAGGAAACAAAAAATTATAATCCACTTTTAGCTTTGTCTTTTAACACCAGTTATCCAAAAATCCAAAAAACAGCCCAGGTTTGTGCTCCTCAAGGTCTTGCTATTCCAAGTTAGTAATCCACAAGGCCTCTTACAAGGAAAATACAAAAATCCAATTTCCTCTGTCTCTAGGTAATTCTTAACACTGCAGCACCAATAGTATTTGTAATCCAGAAAAGCCAGATGGCTTTAAAGTAGTATATTTTTATAATCCATCATACAGAAAAAACAGCCCAACGAGTTTTTTTCCTCCCTTTTCCAGATGCAATCTGCAAGGTTGAGAAGCTCAGACACATCAAAGAGTCTAGTGTGCTATCTCTGTCTAGGCTTCAAGCCAAGATAATTTCTTCCAGGCTGGATAAAAAACAAAATATTGGTGCTGTTCCTTTATTCCACCACTAGTTGTCATGAAAGGTCTGTCTTCAACCAGGACTTATTTCTTAAAAGCTCTGGTATTTTTTCCAAAAAAGGGAAAAAGAAAATAATAAAGTTTTCAATGTTCTTTTAGATCACCCAGAATTTTCAGTCTTAACACTTCAAATGGTTTCCAAGTTAGTTTTGTACTGTCTTCTTTTCTTCCAAAGATTTTGAGCTGCCACTACTTCTAGTGGGAGGGATGATAGAAAAAAAAATGCCCCCCACCTTCTTGCTCCTGAGATTTTTTTTTAAAAAGAAGGTTTTTACAGTTATAGAGCAGGAAGGTTAGTCGCACCCAGTTCCAGACATGATGCTTTTCTGCTTGGTCATGCTTTCCCCCCCCCGGCTGTCAGTAGCTTCCGACTGACGCGAAAGACTGGCTGCTTGCTTGCAGCCAGTCTTTCGCGTGTTGGTTTAGAGGGCTTCCTCAGATCCAGCGGTTCAGTTGCTGCCTCACCGCGATCGATGAGGGTCCCCTCCTTCTTTATCACCTCTCCTGGATGACTTTAGGCCCTTTTCGGACTCCCAGCAGGGCGAAATCGGACATGGGAGGCAGAGCCCTGCTTCCCTGTGCCCGTCTCACTGTGATGCAAAACTGGAAGTCACCATTCTTTGGGAAATTGTAAGGAGTTATTTGTGGCAGAAAAAGGGGGGCTAGTACAGATGCCCACCAAGCAGGATTAAATTTTAAAAATTCTGGTAGAATTATATCTTTGCTAGGGACTTTGTTATTTTTCAGTGGAAAAAATATTTTTTTAAAACTTCTGAGTTCAGGTTGAAGACCATTTGGAAGGGGGATCATCTGGTGGCAGAACATAAGAATCAGCATATGGAGATGTATCAAGTAGGCCATGGAAGTTTCTGTCCCAAGATTGAGGAGAGATTAAATTGTTGTCAATAGCTGGGCTAAATTTTGCTAAGGATCAGGAAATGAAATGCCAAAACAGGCAGGCATCTTTATTTGTTACAGCTGTTGGGAGTTTAGCCTAGTTCTTTAGCACATAATTTTGTTTCTTCTCCCACAGAAGGTTCCTGTAACTCTTGTTTAGAGTATGAAACGTTTGCAGGGGAGAAAGATTATTATAAGTTTAATCATTCTTATATTCAAATATTACTAGTACTTTCACTGGATTTTAGTTGCTGATTGAATTGGAAGGAGAAGAAAGTTTATTTTATCCAAGAGCTATGCTAATAATGTATTGCAATGCAATGATTATTTTACAAGCATTGTTAGCTACACTTTTTCAAATTATAGATTACTAGGGCTACAAAAAATTGAGAGCAATACTCACAGATGGCTTATTACACCATACTGGACAAAAGTAACTGTTGGTGGCCAGGGAACCAAGTGCTGTAAAGACTGGTACTGTTCAACTGAGTTAATAGTGAGGGAATCCTGCCAGGGAATGGTAGTTACTTGCTAGATTGAAAGACATAGATGTATGTTTATAATGAGGGGCAAACTCATGTAATCTAAAGTGAGACTTCTAACCCTCCCCACTGAGTGGGGGGGGTCACTGAGGATTTTCAGATCAAAAATTATTATTATACTTATTTTTGGTATCAAGAATCTTATAATAATAATAATAATAATAATAATAACAACAACAACAACAACAACAACAACAACAACCCCCAGTGAGGCAGTAACTTGATATGGCTGAGCAAACAGGGCCAGCAGCTGAAGGACTACTGGGAGTTCCTTACCCATTGCAAATATACAATGATTCAAAACAAAGAAATAATGATTTGCTATAGCACACATTTTATATCAGTTTTATGATTTATTTCCACCCAGATTTTGCAGATAAATCTACTGTAAAGAACCAGTGCAACAAGTTCTCACCTCCCCAAATTGTCCTTCTCCCAATTTCTCCTTGAAAGTCAACAGCTTCCTAGGGAACTCAGCCACAGCCACCTCTTTGCCATAGAGTAAGTCCATGGTGATTGCAGGGACAGAATAGGTGTTGCTGCCTGTGACTCCCTGCAAGTTCACAATATCTGCTTCTGCATAATGGGGAACCCCTTCGGCTCCATTTGGCTGGGTTGGCTTGGTGATCCCACTGCATCCTAAGAAGAGAGAAGATCAGAGACAAGAGAATCTCAGTGAAGGAGATCTTGAGCTTTGATGGTTGGTAAGTCAGAATAACAAAACAACAGAGTTGGAGGTCTTCTAGTCCAACCCCCTGGTCAAGCAGGAGACCCTATACCTTTTCAGACAGGTGGCTGTCCAGTTTCTTCTTAAAAGCCTCCAGTGATGGAGCACCCACAACTTCTGAAGGCAAGCCGTTCCACTGGTTAATTGTTCTCACTATTAGGAGAACAATGAGAACAATTAACAGTGAGAACAGGAGAACTCTGGAAAGAGAGCCTGCCTGATGCTGTAGGACACAAAGGACTGCCAAAAGAAGGAACTCCAGGCAAGCAATGGAGAAAAATAAACATCAGACTAAGAGCTGTGGTGGCGCAGAGGTTAGAATGCAGTACTGCAGGCTACTTCTGCTGACTGCTGGCTGCCAGGAGTTTGACAGTTTGATTCTCACCGGCTCAAGGTTGACTCAGCCTTCCATCCTTCTGAGGTCCGTAAAATGAGGACCCAGATTGTTGGGGACAATATGCTGGCTCTGTAAACTGCTTAGAGAGGGCTGTGAAGCACTGTGAAGTGATATATATACTGTAAGTCTAAGTGCTAACTATGGACTATAGTTAAATAAAACATAGGGCTGTGCTGATTCTAAATTATTCAACAAGTAAAGCTGAATTTGATAGCTAGCTTTAATTGCACAAGTTAAATGTTCTTTTTCTTAATTCATGTTATTAGTATTGTTTTTCTTAATTATATGAATGGATATGGAATTATATGTGGATATGAATATTGTATGTTTTAACCAGCCATTCCTTTTAACTTTCCAAGCTCAAAACAATCTAGAGACTATCTCAGGATTTCTTTTTTTCCTGTTAGCATTCTTACTTGAGGTACTGCTATGCACCTTCACATCATGTTATAAGATAGAAATGACCCAGGATAGGGCTTTTTAGTCATTCATATTATTTTGTGAGACCTCTTCTATCACAATCCACTTTTGCTACCATATATTCATCTTTATTGATAATGAATCTTCTTTTAAGAATTAAAAACAAAAGAAACCTTAGAATGTTTTTCCTTCAGAAATGAAGCAAATGTTCACAAAAGGTTAAAAACAGTTTTAAAAAAGTAACCCTAACATGGAGATGGTTTCGAGCATCAACTTCCTGGGTGGCTTGGTCTGGCTTGGTCACTCAGCAGCGAGATACTGGTAAAGTGAGTACAGCAGCGCCTGCATTTTCTGTGTCTCAGAGAAAAGCACATCTTCCTTCCCCTGTCCTTACCTTACCACTTTCTACAGAGGGACGATCGAGAGCATCCTGTCATACAGCATTACAGTCTGGTTTGGAAGCACCACTGCTTCAGACAGGAAAGCGGTGCAGAGAGTGGTAAGGATTGCAGAAAAGATTATTGACAGTTGGCAGAAAAGATTATTGACAGTTCCTTTCATCCAGGACATAGCATATAAGCATTGCCTGAGCAAGGTCCGCAAGATTGTCTGGGACACTACACATCCTCTTCACGACCTGTTTTCCTTGTTACCTTCTGAGAGGAGGCTTTGTGGTATCCGAAGCAGAACATCCAGATTCAGTCACAGTTTTGTTCCATACAGTATCAACCTTGTGAAATCTCAAGCTTCCTCTTTCCGCTATGTATTCAAGATGGACAGTGATTGATATTTATATGTTATTTATATGTAAAGGTGTAGGTTTATGTTGTATATAGCATGTTTAAATGTGTGTTATGTATACCGTATTTTTCGCTCTATAAGACGCACCTGACCATAAGACGCACATATCTCCTTGATTAGTTTCCACCCATTGTTTCTTGTCTCGCCTTCTGGGGCTTTGGAAAATAAATTGATCCCCTCCTCTTTGTGGCAGCCCCTCAAATACTGGAATATTGCTATCATGTCAACCCTAATCCTTTTCTCTTGACTGGCCAT